GTCGATCAACCTCGAAAGGAAGAAGAGCGTTGAAATACTTTCCTCCACCGGTGCATCTTTCTGTTAGATCTTTGAATTTTATTGACCTGTGGCACGCTCGGCAAAAATTTTGTTCGTTCTGGATAAGTAACCTTCCATCGAACAATGGTCATCGAACCACCGAACCGGAACTTATGTGTGAAGGAGACTGTGAGAAATTTTGTGTTCCGGTCAGAATACTAATTCTTTATTGTCACCATAGTTGTCACGTTATATGTTCTGCACTTCGTCTGCTGTCTGTGGTACGGTTGGGACACTGGCACTTACAACATAAGCAGAGAGTCGAAGGGCAACCTTCAATAGGTAACGGGAACTAACACTGACCGATAATGGCTTAAAGGCAAAGTTCGGGATTTCTGGCGAAATTAGGTTTTCCCCGTCAAATATGCAGCAGTACGCAAGGGCAGACCATGTGCAGAAGTGGCGGGGCGATTTGACAAGGTTTAGGCGCTAGGAGCCTAGGTTGGAGCATTGGCGCCGCCCCAACCCCATTGAGCCCGCCCACTGTTCCATGCGACCTTCCAAACAACCACATGGAACACTAGATGTAAGTTGTTATTTGGAAGGTCGTAGGAGGATAAGTGGCTGACTTCAACTTTCAACTTCAATACTAAAGCCTATGTTGCGGCTATTACAGGAAACTTTGCCACTCATTCTAATGAGAATCAAATTTTTAAAATAAGAAAAACAAACAAAAAAGCGCAAATAAACAGAAAAATAAGGAAAGTTGGAAGAAATCAATTCTCATCGCTGAGTTGTTATAGCCGAGTGGTTGATGGCATAAAGCCAACAGTTGCTGTGAACACGTCCATACACGTTATCTTCCCAGCCCTGGCTTGTAAGTAAGTAACGAAGAGGAAGTTATAATTTTGAACTATTTCGGGGGAGTTCATTGCTTTTTTCTCTAGGTTCGATTCAGTAAGCACCCACGGCTTCTTATTTGTACAGAGAACTCCCACGTTTTATCCCGGAGTTTACCTTTAAAAAAGTGCGACATTGAAATTTTCACCTTATGATCAGGAGCAACGACTGTCACAAGTCATGTAGGAGGTCAAACAATGATATGAGCGACATAAAGTGAAAGAGTTATCGCCCATCTGTTATGATTTCGTTTTGATGGTAAAGGGACAAAAATTTATGGCATGGACATGGAGAAAGCGTCCATTCTTATCGCATGATAAGGATAATGAGTCTTCGTCTTTCTACACATTAAACTTTCTAGATCTCTAATGGAACCAAAATAAGGAGTGTTTGACTAAGGACTCTCCTGCAATGGATGCAGATGAGTTTTTGCCTCGGCGCAGGAATGTATCAATAACAGAACTAGGCCTGTTATAATAAAATAAAGCAAAAGGGTTGGCAGACAAAGCAACATAGACCTATAATTCTTTAGATGATCATAAACAGACCTTAGTGGCCTAAAATGCACTAACGTAATTTCGGTATTCATCATGCGAGTGGTCGTTATGCCAGGGTTTAGCTACTTCTAAGCTTGTCAAGCTCCGTTTTCAGGTTGTCATTACTCGTGAATTCACTTTCGTCTGGTTCAGTACAGGTCCGGTGGGTTGGCCTTATGGAATGATATTCTTTTCCATTCTATGTATGTCAACATTTTGCACAGTATTGTTTGTCGCCAACAATTTTCTTCATAGGTACATTATTTTGTGCAGGTGAGGTTCCACATAAGCTTAAGCAAGTGCCTCAAATACTTCGAAGTTGAAAGACTACGAATTTCTCGGAACTCCCGTCATTTAAGGAACGGACTTCTTTACGTGTATTCGTCGACCGGATATCTAACAACAGGTTTTTTATTCAATTCGCTTCTTCTTCTGAACTGGATGGCAATGAACTATTTTGGTCTATGGCCCAGTGAAGATTACATCAAAATTATCAAAGAAGTCTGGCCAGACGGAAGAGTCAATATGTCAGGCAGAGCATATATGGCTATCTCAATTCTGGTGTGTGTTTACCCTGTATTTGAAAAAAACACGCCTTCAAAATGGTAGATTCCAGAAGTTCCGGGTTTTTTTTGTATCTTTGTAAATATACTGGTTTTTGATAAGTATATGCTGTTTTCAATACACCCGTATCAAAGATATAAGCACCTTGTGTTCATGACTGTTGCTAAGGCTGCCAATGATAAAAAAGTGTATCAATGCCAATGAACAAGGTGATATCCCGAACAATCCCAATTCCAGGATTCTGCGTTATTGCACAGTATTCTGCTTTCTCGCCGTATTCTGGTTCATTCGGCCTGAAATGTTTACTTACCTGTTTTTATGTGTGGTTTTTATTCCACACTCAATTTCTTTCGATTGAGCATAACGGTTGTTCATATAAGTGTGGCGTGCCGGTTAAGATTTCGCACTTTTCGCTTCCTAAAACAGCCTGTACGCGTTTTGGAGTTTCCTGCCTACGTAATGTAATCATTACTAATAAGAGAATTTTGAGGGGTTAACGACTGCTAAGGAGGGAAAATGAAGAAAAAACATGAGGCAATGCACGCATAATAGTGGTCGTCAATGGGTTAAGAAAAACAGTCAAATGGCCATATAGTCAGCAGTAAGAACTAGAATTTGGCAGCTGAAAAGGATTATAGTGTTAAGAAGTCGAAGTGGAGCTGATGGTCAGCGTCAGCGGTGTAAAGTGAATTGCATTTGATAAGTTACTTTATACTATTTGAGGACGGAGCTGAGCCCTTGAAAGTCGGTCTTCTTGTCGAATCAATGATACTTCTGTTCATGGTGGCACTAGTTGCACCGTACTGTGCAACGAAAATCCACCTCTGCTTGAAGGAAAAAGCGCTAAGTGTGCACACAAAAAGAATGCATAAGCAAGTGCTCCTCCTGTTGTCTATCCAGGTAAGATTTTTCATTATTCTCCCTTAATTTCAACGTACATACATACATACACCATACATGGCCCAACTAAGGGACATTCCACGTGTTCATGTATCTTTGTCAGCAATGTACCCGAAGCGTAAGAAACTGTTGCAAATTTAAAATAAGATAGCCCAAAAAAGTGAAGTCGAAGTGCTAGGTGCAGAATAATCACTATGCCCTACTCAGAAAATAGACTTTCTCTATGTTTCAACAAATTTGATCGTGATATTGTTCATGTTGTTGCAATTCAAGGTTTTGATGCTTGCAACTCGATTAGATAATAGGAAATTCAAGCATGACGAGGACATACGGAGTGGCCATAAGATACGGTAACAGGAAGCATTGGTCGTAAAGAGAGACAAAGCAGAAAAAGGAGAAGCGAATGAGAGAAAAGATTTCATTGAAGATTAGCAACAAAAAGCAAAGTTACTTCCCATAGTGGCAGCGCTCTGATATAGGTGGAGTTTCTCGAAGGAGCCTCTACCACTTCGTGTGGTAGATAGACGGCCTTGAACTAGTGAACCGTTGAATTTGAGTAGAGAACAACATGACCACCGCACGAGCGCGGTAATTCTCAGACAGTTCACTTGTTACGCTATCTTTACAACGTCGTCCACGTCGATGTGTAACTCATACAGTCTGCCACGAAAATCGGGATTCAATACATTTTGAAGGACTGTGTTGTTAAGTGGTTAGCGTAGAGACCTGTTGAATATAGAGTGGGTAAATCGCAAATGTCTTCTCAGTTACTAAAATAGCACCCACTTTGGAATCGTACACCATCCACAGACTCGTGGCGCTGTTTGGTTGTCATTTTACCCGCATCAATCAGGAGTTCGCTTATGTGACTACGTCGTGGAATGCAAACCAGAGATCTTCTCGACTAAACGCTGCAATTTCACATTCTAGCCGCCAACGTGAGCTGGCCTATAGCGCACCTCACAAGGAGGGTCTTTCAGGTCATGGAGCGCTTTTCCAAAATGATTTCTGCACTTTGTAGAGACTCATGCGAGGAACATAAAACTGTGGTCCATTTTTCCTGAACACTCTTGGGAACCTCAAAAGAGAGGTTCCGAGAAAAGAAATGTTCCTAAAATTAATCCGCCGTAGTGACAAATTGATTGTCGCCACATTACGAAGATGACATGCCAATCGACGCTGGTGCCATTTGGACACAATTTGGAGGCGCCAACATAAATTGCAAAAATTAGACATCACGGAGGATCGAACTTTGGACCATTTCTTCTCCACTATTCTTGACCTTCCTAGCGTTCAGGAAAAATGGACCATGGTTCTGTGTTCCTCGCATGAGCCTCTACAACATGCAGGAAACCATTTTGAAAAAGCGCTCCATGTCCTGAAAGACCTCCCTTGTTAGCGCTTACCCTCCGGGCTCTGGGTCATATTGTCACATAAAGTTATCGAAAAGTTGGTGGTGCACAGAAGTGCTCATTTTGTGATGAGATGAACTTATGGCCTCGAGGTGATCGCAGTTCGCGGGTTGAATTATGGAATGAGCGTTTATCTAACTGTGAAAAAAAAACAGAATATCAGTAGCCAACACCCTGTAGGAGTTGGGATTGCAAAAGACCTACCTTCCGTGCTTTGTGGCCACGCTGTATATGTGCGCGAAAAGCTGTATGCAGTGATGTTGATTTGGAGAAAGCAAGCAGTCTCTTCTTCTTCACCACAACATATCTCGACAAGCTTTCCTCATTGAAACTCCTGAGAAGATTGCAAGTTGCAACAATTGTGACGGATAGGACAAGATATAAAAGACATAAGAACGTGCAGTGAAGTTGAGAACAGGGGAGCACCAGGGATTGGGAGGGAATACAAGACTTTGCATATTCTGACTTAATGTTCTTATTGAGTCATTCCAGTACAGCGTAATAAGAGTAAATAATTTCAGACAGCTTGCACTACTCTTTTTATGCATCTACCACTATGTTGTATGTACGTATTGCTATTTAGTGGGCTTCACAGCACCGTACTTTCTGCCCACATTATAGGCATTTTTATGGCACTTCATCCGCTTTTCGAGCCAATTATTAAAATTTTGTTTGTTCACGAGTATCGTCACAGATTACTGGACACTTTGCGTATAGTCAGAAGATCGGATTCATCAGCACCGCACACAGATGCCCGTCCTAAAACAGTCACTGTTTTCGTGAATTTGCATTGATATTGCATGGCCTTCTAGTAAAAATTTTCTTCTCGCTACGGTTGCTGTGATGGAGACTTGAAACCTTTCCTAGGTATGTTCTGAGCAGTGTCGAAAACTGTAACGAGCGTTAAAGTGGGCGCAGGTGTATCACTATAAATGTTCTCAAGAGTTCTGGTGTCAGTTTTCTTTATCTGTTCAGATTTTCCGTAGTCGTAACTGTGTTTGTGTTATTATTATTACAGCGGAATGCAAGCTCTCATCCTTTTATGGGTACATACGAGAAAATGAGGCTCTACGCATATGTAATGTTCTGCTCACCGAGACTTCTGACTCTAAATTATAACAATAAATGCGAAGCACGTAGCACTATAGCACACCACGAGAAGAACAGAATTAATCTTTTCACCCACACATTGCTCAGAATGTGTGTTCAAAGTTGAGTTTATTAGTGACAAAAAATTATAACAGACAGAAGCAGACCATAGCTGTAAAATGTTTATTTTTCATTCTTATATGATACAACAAACACTCTGACAATGTGCTTTGACGGACTCGTCAACGGTGCCTCAGACTTCTTCCATTGTATGCTGCATAATTTGCAGAAAATGAACTCGCGATAATCTTTGACAAATACTAATACACTTAGCGGACTTATCAATGGGAAGAGAGCCATCAATATTCCAATGATGATGCTCAGTCCATGCGGTGATCTAGCACCAGTGAACAGTAGAACATACATCGTATAGAGTGGGGTGTGAAGTAGAAACACTGGACACGCGGTCTGCAAGCAGATCCTCGAATATCTGCTCTCAAGCACAGTTCAAAATGATATTGATTACCTGATACGTTCAAGGTATGAAATAAAAAGCTCCGGCTGTTTCAAAGTTCTTTTTACATTCACATCAACTTTTCCTTTCATTGGTTCGTAAACGTTTGGCTATGTGTAGCGTATCGATTGAAGTATGATCGGGTGATGATCAACTATGAAGTTGGTGCTGCTCTGGAGTCCTTCAAGCCCTTTTGGCATTGTAAAATCAAGGGCGAGTTCATAAGCACTGCCGTCGTTCCGCGAAGGATGGTTCACAATGCGGCTATTCTGGCAGCAACAGCATCTATGCGACCATTTTCTTATGGCACCGTTACAGGTATGGCCAGAACGCCTAACCTCGGCCGTCCAGTCTAGCGCTATTCTCCATTACAGGTCTTCATTACACCACGACGGGCTTCAACATCTTTAGCAACGTGCTAGCTCCATACCGTAAATGGCGACTGGTCCTACTACGATTTCTGTAAATCTTCGATTGGAACACTGGTATGCTCCTGTCACGGGGAAGCCAGTCGACGACAAGAACCTTGGACACTGTTTCACACGAGTTTCTTCGGTAAACTAATTAGTGTCTAAAGCGGATTATTAAATGCAAAATCAGGTGCTATCGGTGGTGCTATTAGTGATTAAACAGGTGCTGTCAGCGCTTTGTGGTGATAGCTTAGCTGCGGAACGACCTGAAAGTGGAAAGGAAAGCAAGAGAAATCTTTGGGAACGCTGAAATTAAGGCCTTAACCTTCAATAGGGTCGGATGTGGTACGATGGCGAGAAAGGGCGGTCAAAGAAGACAAAATACGCGAGAGAGCACGTCGTTTGAGAGAGCACGCTGATCTCTACATCAATGCACGCTGATCTCACCACCTCTCGCGGTGGGTGGGAAGCGTTGGAATGGGAGTCGATGGTTGCGGGCCCGTAAGGATTAGCGCCCTAACCGCGCAGTTTTTGCGACAAAGCTGGAGTAATCCACTTACGTCGTCATTTCAGAGAATAGCTCGTATTAAAAACGAAGTTAAGAAAGAGGTGATCAGTGATATAAGGATGAAGAAAAGATTACGAGAAACAGCTTGGAACTCGAGAAATGAGACCCTTTTTAACAGCTGATTTGTAATTTCGCAGATTTCAAAGGTGACCTCATCAGCGCTAATGTTTCTCTGCTGGAGCGGTTGGAGTGAGGCGAGGGGTTAGCAAGTTGGAGGGAGTCGGTGCGACGCGGGCATCACCTTTCTAGACCGCTGGAAGCATACCATTGCATACGCAAAAACGCATAGTCCCGCACTCTTTGGGGTTTGCGCGCGTATCCACTATGTATGTTCCCCTTCTTCTCCCTCTACCTTAACCTGGAAACCCCTTTTGGAGTGATCAGTGATCAATGATCGTGATCTACTGACACTCGAAGTGGGTTCCGTATAAATAGTGGATATAATTACATGGCAGCGGATTCTTTACTAACATCAATGTTTTTAGGCGACGCAGGATGCACAAGGGGCCCAGCGCTAAAAAGTACTGTTTGAATGCCTATTTCCTCTAACGTGAGAGTTCCCATTTCATTCGGCAGTATTTTTTTGCGCATCACATAGAAATGCAAAAGACAGATACAAATGCATACAAAGACGCCTCCATATTTAGGTGTATTTAATCACACTCAGCTCAACCCAGACCGAATTGTTCCAACCTAATGTTGAAGAGCACATTTCATTGCATAAGAAAACCAGTTTGGCTCCGCTCCCTACCACGCGGTAGGCTTTAGTGAATCTAAGTATAGCCGAGCTATTCCATAGTGTAACATACTGCTTTCATTGGCTGTTGGTGTTGGATCGTTGAGATGTTGAGATCGTTTAGCGGTCGAACAACCTTTTATGTCTAAGTTAAAATAGAAATACCAAACTTATAGTATTTGCACAGACAGCGATCATTTGAGAAGCTTGGACAGACCAGCGGTCGATTGGACCACGACGACTTTACTATGCAATGAGCTTTTTTCTAATCTTCATTGGCTGTTGGTGTTGGATCGTTGAGATGTTGAGATCGTTTAGCGGTCGAACAACCTTTTATGTCTAAGTTAAAATAGAAATACCAAACTTATAGTATTTGCACAGACAGCGATCATTTGAGAAGCTTGGACAGACCAGCGGTCGATTGGACCACGACGACTTTACTATGCAATGAGCTTTTTTCTAATCGCGCATCTGGATAGAACTTCAGCGACATTTGCCTTTTAACGCTCCTTATCAGCCCCTATCAGCTGTTATCACTTTCTGGTCCCCATCAAATATGTTCCCGTCCCACCCCCTATATCATATCTGCAAACAACGCCTCAATGCTGCTGGGCCTTGCGCTGTGAATTTCGTGACATTTGCGTTCCAACGCTTCTTATCAGCCCCTATCAGCTGTTATCACTTTCTGGTCCCCATCAAATATGTTCCCGTCCCACCCCCCCTATATCATATCTGCAAAACAACGCCTCAATGCTGCTGGGCTTGCGCTGTGAATTTCGTGACATTTGCGTTCCAGCGCTTCTTATCAGCCCTTATCATCAGATCACCTTCTGATGGCTGTCTTACACGCATATCGCACAGCCAACCCTGCACAAGTTGTACCGACTAGCCGACGAGTGCTGCAGATATCCTTCTCAGTATACCTTAAGCCATCAACTATCACTTTTTCGGGGCCTCGATGGTTCCCTTAAAGAGAAATGCTTCAAAACCCAACCCGATGCTGAAACATGACCTTTCCTTAGTACTCCAGAGCTCCAGCATTCTGAAAAAAGCAACCACTGCAACGGGATCTTATAGCGGAAGCTTATCCTATGCTTTATTTTTCACACAAAGTCGTTGCTCAGAAAGCTTCCAAGTCAGAAACGAAGTCAAGACTGAAGTTCATACTGATACGGTATTCCACAAATATGAGATATCAGAGCGATGAACGGGCACGAATCCTAGGAGACTAGGAGGTTACAAGCCACAGAGACCGGCTCCCTCAGCACCTCACCTCCACCTTGTCTTTACATTGGGCCACATAGCGTAATTGCATTCACAATGCGTTACTTAGCTACTTACCTGCAAAAGCAATAAGGTGAGTAGTTGTTGATGACTTTGACGTATGTGGATCCCGGTTGTGAGCCTTGCGAGAAATAGATGGATTCTCACGGCACATATGAGACCGACGCATCCGACCACCACTATCAAAACTAATGCTTCCACCAGCAAAACAGTTGTTTTCGCCGTCAAGCCATGCTGCAAGGACCTATTACAATATATATGTTCAACAAGGCGATTTTTGAACCTGTTCCTTTAACCCATCGCGGACCGCGTTCACCATGCGGAGAAGGACAGCAATCTTTGATTTTTTCAGCATTTTGTTAAGTTACAAAATCATTGGTTTACTTTTTTGGACACAGGATATATCACTTATTTGCATACTGGTTAAATTTTCGATAGATCATTGGCCACTGATTAAAAGAGATGACAAAAACCTACGGAGGTGCAATTATAACGGCGGTCCGCAATGGGTTAAAATCTGTTCCTTCAAAAATTCTTAATCAATGGAGGTAAATTGATTTGACTCTCTAGTGATGGCATGATGAGGCTTATTCATCTTCTGGTAGGAGCAAATCGTTATCGAGGCTACCGTAGTTAAACCCCGTTTGCAGCGAAGAACAGGAAGGCTCTAGAACGGTTTCTCTGCTGTTATGATAGCTTAAGAAGCGCTTTCGGCGAAATGGTGTAGTGAGTAAGAGTGCAGCTTCCAGTACCGCAAAGGTAACGGGTCGTGGTGCTTCTGCTTATTTCATGACAGAATAACTGAAACAGAAGCTGCGTAGAAGTTGAAATTTGCATCCAAGCTCCGAGTAGTGAAGACTCTCCCAATTTGTGATTCTGCATATGCTTATCTATGCTTATGCTTTATCGGCTGTCCTGTCTCATCCGGACCTTTCGTTTCATGCGCGCGGTACCGTGTGGCTGGTAAACTGGTATGCATATAAAGTGTAGAGAGGGGAACTTCTCAAATAAGAACTTAGAGTAACAAAGTCTCACATTGAAAGAAATTCCCATAAACGTAGCATTAATAACGTCGAAATTGTGAGATTTTACTACCGAATCTCTTACGAATCGGACGAACTCAATGCTCGGCCATCCACAAAATATATTCATAAGTATCCAATTGACTACTATAGCAAAGTTGACAAGCCCAATTAACAGTAACCACTTTGTCGAAGTGTAGATCGTTGAAGACCATGGCCTTAAATGGCATAAATAAGAAGAGCAGCTCTATTTGGACCCGAAAACACCTTGTGTTTTGAGCTGAATTATATATCGCTTAGCCTATTCCGCTCAGTGGGCAGTAGTGTTGCGGTGCATTTGCCGCTATTTGCTATTCTATGGGGCAGTGACGTTATTCATTTTCTTGAATAGTTCCCGCGATATAGAATTCGTAAGCCAGGGGACCTAAAATGCGATTGCCCTCAGCAGTAGAGGTTTCTTAAGTGGTTTACGAGCTCTTTCATGTCACTGCTTTTTACTTCATTACCCAAGCTATCCAAAAAGGATACGTATTTTCTCTGGAATCTTCAAAAAATCCCCAGATATTCTAAACCCCTTTCCTGTCACTTTAAAAATTAGTGTGTTCATTGACGCTTGCGACCATGGATTATATGGAGCTCCTTCATAACATGAGACGTTCCAAGTTCAGTTGGTGAACACGCTTTGATGCTTCAACGGTGTTTATAATTCTATGTAATATTAATTTCAATACATTACACTGTCATCACTCACCTGCACAGTTGAAAGTATTTGTAGACAAAGCTATTCGTAACGAAAATTATAGACGAAACAAATGTCATGCTGTAAAGCAACAAGACAAACGGACCAATCATCCATTCACCGCCTCTTCCAGTGGAAACAAGGAGAAATGTCCTATCGAATGATATTGCCTTCTGAATGGAAGCAACAGTGATCATACCGAAGAAAGAGTCAAGAGAATTTGTAAGAATAAAATTTTAAAAAACAAAAATTCTTGTTTATGGCTCAAATTCAATATGACAAGTTCTTTTGAAACGGGAGCTATAGAATTTGACTCTTTCCCGAATAACATCTTTGGAAGATGATTCTACCACCATCCCATGCTTCCAGCGACAATGCGGAACTATTTCACTTTGCGCAGACCTTACATTTACTAATCGGTGGAGTTAACTGGTCATTCGTCATCCAACAGGGAGCCGTGCAATTTTGCTCGGCATAAGATTTGCTCTAATTGTGATCGGCAGAGCACGCCGTCTTCTTGCTGAATTCTACCGATGTGAGAAACCCAGCTTGTACTTTCTTCGTTTTGCAATGAGCAATCAGCGAATTGGCGGAAATCGCAAAGTCTCAGGGCGACGTCATACTCTGCGAACCTATCGATTCGCTAGCGAATCGCTGGATCGGGAGCGCATTCGTATAGCATACATTATACGGAGTTGCCCCAGCGAGTCGCACTATGTACTAGCGAGTCGAACGGTCCAGCGACTCAATAGTGGCGGGACCCAAGGTGCAAAAGAAACCCGCTACTTTCAAACAGTGCCACGTGATAGTGAACCCTTGTTGAAAGTGGCGAGCTTCCTTTGAACGCTGGGTCTCTCACCAACTGTTGAGTCGCTGATATATCGTTCGACCGGTGGTAAATAGTTCTGCTCGCTGGTGCATCGGTCGATTCGCTGGTGCAAAGTTTGTTTCGCTGGTGCAACGTTCGATTCGTTGCTCAACGCTCGAGAACTATGACATCGGCCTTACTTCGTCGGTTGCATTCACCTGAGAGCATTTGAGAGATATGGTAGCGGTGAAGTTACCGAAATTCGACGTAAGCTAGCAGCCAAAGTCACAAGCAATTTATGGCAACGAGATTACATCAAGCCTGCACTGCCCATCAAATCCATTCAGATTTGAAGCTGTTCCCGTGAAGTTTTACGTTTGATTGATGGTCAGAGATCGGCCCTAATTAAGATAGAGAGAACGCCACAACAAATAGAAACAAGACCGCCTCCTAAAATTCGCTTAGACTATACATTGTGAGGAAATTTTGCGAGAACAGCTAAAGGAAGCAAAATTTGAATTGTTGTTCCTCAGCTGTGGATGACGGTGAACAAGTACTGAATATTGGTAGATGGATCCGGCTTCCTCAACAACATGTGGACGATATTATGATTTCATTTTTTCTGTCATCCAATGGAGCAATGTGAGCATGGTGTGAGCAGCATTTGTTGCTATAGCGTCATAATTTCGCCCTTGTCGCGGCAGTGAACCTTACACCCGGCTGTGACTAAAGCATGCACTATCAAGAGTCCCAATTTCAGACGGTTCTTTTCAACTAAGAACACCTACTGAAACTTTGATGCTTGTGCGAGTATTTTTATTGAAACCTTACCGTAGGCATTTCCGTATGCTTACATTTCTGTCAAAGCGTGAAGGTAAAAGACCAACCGGTGCCATAAAGAAGAAAGTGACGGAAGAGACAAGATTTTGAGTGATCGATAGAATAAGGAAGTATTTACAGGTGAGTGTTTTCGAAGAGGAGACGATGAACACCACAAGAAGAAGGATATTAGCTGCAAAAGCCAAACAACAGATGCACTCAACCACCACCGTGTAGCTTGCAACGGGCGGCACTTGGGCTAGGATACTCGGTCGTTGCGTTCGGCATGCACTGAGGATATTCTGAAAATTTTGGTTGAAATGGTTCTGAAAACCATCTAGTACTAAACAATAGAAACGATTCTTGATTTTAGATTAGTATTTCTCCTACAGAAAGCCATGCTTCTACATTTAGTTATAATCTTACCGAAAGAGATTCCTCTAAAAAGCAGGATTTTATATTTCACATCTGAACACCTTGTGAAGAGGTTGATTTTCAGGCTTGCAAATGAAGGTTCATCTAGAGATTACAAGGTGAGCAAAAATTACAGTAACAAGAGTGTGCGTCTCGCAATTCCTATTTTGAACATCCGAAGTTTGTAGAATATTTCATGTGTTTATTAAATTTCTTGTGCCATGGTTGTTCTTCATGCGAAATGTGTCAGTTCTAGAATGGACAGTCCTGTAGGTTCATCAGGAATAATCATTCCTTTCCGACTAGCTGTTTGATCACGTCGAGCTATCTCTTACCGAACATTTCCGCTCACCATTCTAAGCGCAAAGAAGAAAATATTAACACGTTGACAACGTGTTTTGGCATTTCCTACCGCGTGGGACAGCGCGGCGTCCTCACCTTACACCCGCTTATTTTTTGTTTAAAATGCACAACAACTTGAATCTCATAGAATTATTTCGGCAAGGATGAAAGCATAAAGGTTAACTATATAAATAGCAGTAGATTTTTGTTTAGAAGAACGCATAATGACCACGAAGAAGCAAAAAACATCACTTTCGCTGCGAATGAAGTTAAAAGCATTTATACCTAAGTTCTTCCATCAAATACAAATATCTTGAAACTCACAGAGTTTTGTATTAACTGCTTCTACAATCTTTCATATGAATGTTTACGACAGTGAAAGGAATACTAGGAAAGAATTGAAATGAAAGTTTTGTGCGTTCAGAAAATCTTTGCTAAATCAAGGATATTTGACCACTCTGGCTGCCATGTGGTTTATAGCGTATGCTAATGAATTATCTTTTGCTGTAAATCAGGATATTTGACCATCACTTCTTTGGCTGCCAATTTGTTTGATTTAATAGTTATCACCTGATGTATTATCAATCAAAGATGGATACAAAAACCCGAGGAGAAGAGCGAAGCACACTTAGAAAATTGAATGCCATAGTTCGAACGCTCGTTCGCTGTTAGCCTGTTCGTCAATCGTATCTAAGGTGTCATCATCCACTGCCGTGCCATGGACCGCTGCGAACGGACCAGGAGGGCGCCGCGGCCGGGGTCCAATGTCGCCATAAGATTTGAAGATAAAGGGTATTTCACATGTTGTTAATCACGTGCCAGAAGTAGGAAACTGAGCGAACCTGCGATTGCCAGAGAAACTGCAAAAAACTTCCCTCAGGAGGTCAAAGTCATTATTTCCATTACACCCACTTGTAGCGTATGAGTAGTGACCATATTGAAAGTTTTTTGTTAAGTGAATGAAGTGATTTTAGACATACATGAGTAAAGTAAAAAAAAATAAAGTGGACGGCAAAGAAATGCGAAAATTTGTCTCAAGTGGGGACCGAACCACAAACACTGTCCACACCTCTTTTTTTGCCATTTCCTAGTGGGCCTGTTGAAGTTAATTTTCTTGCTCGATTCTAGTCCCGCTCCACGTCGGGTGCTCCCCGCGGCATCAAAGCACGCGTTTCTCTCAAAAAGCGCTTCACACTAGTTCAGGGGTCGTTTTTGAAAGCTTCTCATCTATCGACAGCAACGATCTACACAAGAGTGTCGACGGAATTTTAGAAAGCTTCCTAATTGGCAAACACAGAAAGCGGCCACTCCAAGAAGTAGTATAGTTTTTTGATATTTGACAAATTGTTTCTTTTCTGCCACATTGAATCCTTTTGATCAATCTTGTCTTGCTAACCTTTTGTAGTAATTCTGGGCCCCATTCTATCCGAAAGTCATCTAATCATAGGTCATTAACTTATTGAAAAAGATTGGTCAGAAACGCGCCACATATTCAGTTACGGTCTCAGTTTATTAAGGCAGGTGATTAGCGACAGGTCCCAGATGGGTCATATAGAGACTGTGCGCTTAGTGGTATCGCCAGTAGCGAAAAAAGGGAGGTGTGGGTAAAAAAAAAACATGCCGCGCCCCAAGGCAAAAACGGACAGCGGTGACTCTTTTTTGGCCATTAGTTTTCGCTCAATTGAACAGTCTATCAGCTTCAGAAAGTCGTACGTATGAAAGCGAGTTCGCAGTGCGTTTAGTGACCTACAATGCCACATCCATGCTACAATGTCAAAATTGCTTTAATTAGTATGCCGGTCGCTTGGCAACGGCAAGCTCTCTGGTGCATATGCTTCCGCGATGCGCTCCCAATTTATCGTAATCGCTGCCTTTAACTGACCTAAAACGGTCCATCCAACAAGGCGTGCATCGTTTTCCGTTTGTTTTGTCCTCAAAACTTGTGTTTGTTGTCGAGGCGAATTTAAGACTAATGGCTTGCCGCCGAATGTAAGAAAGCAGCGTAATATTATGCGTTTCAGAATGTTCTGACGCTTTCTGACACTTCACATTTGATGCTTTATTTTACTTGAAATCTAGAGAAACTGCCATCGGTATGATAGCATTTTGAAAAGCTCTCTCTGCTGCTCTAATCCATGTTTTTAAGCTCAGCTTTGTGCTTAAAAAATTTTGTTTCTCTCACAACATTTTCGGCATTCAGCTTTGAAATGTGATATAGTGCGATGAGGCTAGTTGGTATGATTTTTTCTTTTTCTATGCTTTAGAAATAAGAACTTGAAATTAAAGCTGGGAACGATGTTCAAGATGAAACCGATTTTGCCTGGCTTAAGAATTCCCCAATGAAACTGTGGCTAAGAAGCAGTAGTTCAATATGTCTAGTTGTACACGAAAGCGAGAGCCTTGAGTATGATAAGAATGGTGGTCGGATATCGACGTTGCCACACTGAGCCAAAAGTTCTGATTGAGGCACTCGTGCGTAGGACCATTGAGGAGGTTCTGCCTAACCTGGACGTATATGGTTTGTGGAACCAAGTTAAAAGAAAGTAGTTGAAAAATTCCAAAAAAATTTGATAGGGCGTGCGCCGCTACAATTTCATCTTTATTTGTGAAAGTCGTTCTTCCGTTTCTACCCTCTTGGTTTTATGTGTTATGAAGCATACATCCGCCGTTCAGACTAGTTTGCGACGATACAAGTGAGCAAGGATTGTTTTCAGCAGCCCACGAAGCTTTTGCTGAAACTAACATCGGAACTATAGCAAACCTTTCACAAAGCTTCAACGCTGTCTAAAGAGGCTAGCGCAACTTTCAAACTCGTCCAGGCGCTTGGTCAGTTCCCCGTATCAGGTGACTGTTACAGTCAAGAGAACATCTTAATCTTTTGTCAACATTCCACAGAAAATCTTTGTCATAATATACTGGTCCAGCATTTCTCAAATTGTATAAGGTGGCACGACACTCATCTCTGACGGTTGTCCTACACGATTGTCGCATGAACCAACATCTGCCACAAGACTGTCCAGCTAGCACCTAAGGAAGGGGTGCTGGCCGACTATTCTAGCTCTCTCTGTATAATACGTCTCTGGGCTTATATAACCTTTTTGGGAGGCCTCGATAGTTCCCTTGAAGAGAAATGCTTCAAAAAACAACCCGATGCTAAAACGACCTTCCCTCAGTTCACCGCCTCCAGGGCTCCAGCATTCTGAACAAAGGTAACCACTGAAACGTCTTCTTATAGCGGAAGGTTAGCGCATTCAAACGATTTTACTTTCAATCTGAAGGTTTGGTTTAATCCGAGATACATGCATTTGAAATTCGGGGGGGGGGAAAAAGGGACAGAACTTTCTGAAACGCGTGATATTTTGAAGAAGCTTTGGCTGTGCAGTATGCGGTACATCAATTTGAGATTTTGAGATCTTTCTAGGAAAAAATTAATCTCGAAGTAATGGCGTAGTTCGTCGTCTGGTCATCTTATTATGACGACCCAAATTTTGAGCTTTGAATGACGGACTTGACGGGCAGAGAAGTGAAGCAGAGGGATATTTTGAAAATTTTTTGACATGGAGTGCAAACGCGGAATTTTATCAGATGGAAAAATTTATGGTTGGACAAACTGCCGTGGTGACGGGTGAAGTGGAAATGCAAAAATCGCACAAAATTGACACAACTTGTTTTATATAATCCTATTCGCGGGTTCCAGAGGAATTGTAGGATGCATCACCATAAAAGAATTTCCGGGTCAAAAGCTTCCGCCTGCCATTACCAACAGTAAAAAAGCGAATCCACGTCAGACCCGCCCTGCCTTCATGAGAAACTAATGACTATTCTAGCAACAAACAAATGAATCACTCCTTTCCGTTGGACAGATTCCTGTCAAGGTATCGTTTTCCGTGGTAATGAGGCGAGGCTTTTCCGTATGGAATGAGGGATGGAGCTTTTCCGTGAAGACCTCCCTTTAACAGTGCTCATTCTATCCCCATAATGAGGAATGGAATTGTCGCCCAGCTGGCTTTGGACACCTTTGAGTTTTTCGTCAACGCTAAAAATTCAACAAGTTCAAATCAAGTTCTGAGTGAAGCGGAAAAATATCTCGCCCTACATTTCGGAGAACGAGGAGGTCGTCGAGTGCAGACCACACAACACCAATAAGTTGTATCGAGGACCGAACGAGGAAAATCCACATGTTGTTTTCTTGTTAGTGCTGTCACTTGTGGTGTGGCAGTTCTGCACTCGACGCTATTCTCGTTTTTCAAAACATTTTGATTAAGCCGAGTTGAATAGAGTTATTGGGTTGTCCCATAATTCTTTGTCGCAATTTCGACACTTTTGTTTATCCAAGATTTATCTCTTCTAGGAAACAATTGTTCAATGACATAACCACAATCATATTTCATATCATATTTGTTCAATGACATAACCACAATCATATCATATCATATTTTAGCAAAATTCATAGAAAGCTAAGAGAAAATAATCGCATAATTGAGAGGAAGACTTCATGATCAAGAGAGTGAAAAAACACAAAGGCCATAGGTTCGATGAATTTTGGCAACGCGTGTGATATTGATCTTAGATTTGCTTTTGAAGCCACACCATCGGGGCCAGGACACCCGAAGCCACCCGCAGTGAGTCAGTCAAGCGGTGGCCTCAACAAAATCCTACCGTACACTAAGGTGAGTTTAGCTGCTTGTGTTCTTATGATGCCCCCTAGATGCTTCTGGTCTTCGAAGTTGGAAATGATGTCTGCGGTAGGTCGCACTGATCTTTGACTTTCCAGGCTCTGACGAAGGCGACCAAGCCGAAACGTTAGCCGAATAAAGTGTATCATCTTGGCTTGTGGCTTCAGAACAAATCCAAGACGAACAGAGAGGCCAGTATCTATTGTCAAAACATGGCCTACAATGTCCTATGCAATCAGCAGACTGCAATCCGAATATGGTCGCATGGTCTTCAAAGTGTCAAGGAACAATAACCATTTGAAAAACCGCGTCATTCATGTTACAGTCTTGTAAATGGAAAGCTTTTTCAAATGTAGGATATCATTCATTAAGAGCCCGCCTAGCCGTGAAAAAAAAACTCTTAGGTAAAACAAAATTGGCGGACGTAAGCACTTATGCACTTTTGGTACACATAAAACACTGTAGATGACTGACGCTGTTTAATATTGTTTTGTGATGCATTACTTGATAAGAAGAAAATTGGATTGAAAAATTTATGGCCATTGCTGTGGTGTTGCCAACAGAACGGCTAAGCATTTCTCCGTGAGAAGGGCATTCGTGGGCAACGATTAATAGCTTTCACATTTATCGCTGTGATAAAACCTTTGCCAATGTAGGATAGAGTACAATTAAATCTGCCTCCGACGTAAGAAAAAATGTGGCACAGGCGAAATAAACTGGTTACCGTACCCAAAAAAAGCTGCTCAAAAAACTCCTGTTTTTATTCTCCTTTGCTATAATTTGATTTTGCTAGCTCGCTTACAGATACCGGGGAAGGGAACAACACTTTTCTGATTTCAAAATAAATGACTTCAACTGAAAACTGACGAGCACATCCTGGTCTATCGAAGAAATTCATAAAAGCCTTCAACACAGCCAGCGACATCAAAAGATTTTGCTTCGTAAACATGGTGCCCGGTAAGGAGTCAGCGAAGTCATCGACGAATCGTGGGTTATTACGACGTCATCTGAAACCCGAAAGGAGTCGAACACGCTCCGGAGGGAGTCTTACACACTCACAGCTACTGTCCTTGGAAGCTATCAATCCGTTCCTACTAGGGTCGCTCTCCCACCTTTGCCAACGATAATTCTAGGGAGTACGATTGCTTTTGCTTAAAGGAATCTTGCGCGGAAAAATCATGATTCTATTTCAGCCATAAATCACTGGCTTGAGACTCATTATCCACGATAATAGTGAAAAGAACTGAAGTATTGCTTTCGTTTTGATTAGAAATTCGAAAACTCGAAAAGGCTGCTACGCGTTCGAATTGCCCACGGACGTCTTTCACGAATGCTGGCGACGGGGATGCTCAAACTTGGTTCTTGGAGTGCATTCACTAGAAGCTCTTTCTGGCCTTCTGCTTCGTTGCATTCACATCTTACACTTCTACTCCATCCTATTCCATCGATCGATTTGTCTCCACTCTCCGAAATCGCGCGCTTTAACCCGATTCTCTCATTGCGTCGCCTGGTACGTAGCCGGCCAAACGCCGTCTTCTTTCCATGCCTCGCCTGGCTCTGCCTCCTGGTCCTTCGATGGTCCATAACGTGTAGTTTTTGTACGTTTGTTTCTCTTCAGAAACCGAATCTTCATGCGTGAAACTTTGTGTGCTATTTCCAGTGATCACAACTGACATATTCATGTTAGGAAAGAGTGCAAGAATTTTCCGCGCAAGATTCCTTTAATTAAGTATCTCTTACCTTCCGAGATCGGCCTACTGGGTTACTTCCTTCAAAACCAGCGTGCGTGTTTGCCCTTATCTGTCTATTTCGGAATGGGCTCTGTTTTCGTAGTCCGACCGGTAGCAACCCTATCCCCGCTCCTCCCTGTCCGTCGGTTAATGTTCGCCTTTCTGGGGCTCCTACTGGCTTGCCTGTTCCCGTACTTCTATGGCCTGGATCCCGCCTGCCTTTTACATGGCCTGCCGTGCCGGGCCTCCAGCTTGCTCCCGACTGCTTCTCTTTCATTTGTGGGTTTTCTGCCGGGGCGGGGGGCCTGTCCCCCCCGGCCCCGCCCCCCGCGTCGGTTCGGGGGGTTTCCCCGATGTAATGCTCAAAAGTATCGCATTGCCGATACGTAGCATTCATCATAGATTGTAGCAGAAGCACTCCAACTGAAACGACACGAAAGTAGCCTCCTTGAGCCTCAGACGGTCTGCACTAAGCATATTGTGAAGACATCGGCGTAGGAACCTGTTTTCTCCATAGGGGCACCCTAAAAGTATAAAACATGCCCCACCCTGCGAGACAAGAAGTTTAGGGGTGCCCCCCAGGCAATGTGTCTTTTCTGATCACCCCCCTCCCTCATCCCTCACTATGAAAAACGACAATAATGGAAAACAGACATCAGATAAGCAGGACTCTGCGAGCGACTAGTGGCTCTTCTTTTAATTTTTCTTTCTCAAAATGGATGATATAACAAATTGCATGTAGGAATAACTAGAAATGCCCTACTCTGCAAAATAGTCATCTAACTATGACTTTTCCGGTAGCCTCCCTCTCATGGTTCATTCGAAAGTCTCGAAATGACTGTTGTTTCAGGTATAAACGCAACTTCATGTACCAACGCTAACAAGGGGTGTTCGTACTCGCTCAGAGTTACATATAGTGATCTTTCGACCTTCTTGAGACGTACATCGAGCAGAATCAAATTTGAGCAAAAAAAGACCCCTTCAATTGAATCACCCTGTCTCAATCTGTATTGTTCGCCCCGCCCGCTTCTGCCCACTCTCTCGTCGTGACCCTGGTAGATTGTCATCAATAATCCACGATTCAAAGATAAGCTAGCAAAATCAAGTGATAAACAAAAGTTATAAACTTAGTAATAAGCGACACACTTGACTGACATAATCAGAATAGACAACGTGTACGCTAATCTAAGAGCTTTGTGGCTACTGCCAGTTGGGAACTTGAACTCGCTCCCATCACAATAAGGTGCACTGATACCACGTTGTTTTTTGCGGTAGCAATTAAGGTTGAGGCTGGGAAACCGAAGAATGAGGTTTTTCTGGCATGTGCCAGCTGATTGTTACAGCCAAGTAATATTCAGAGCTAATTGCCCAGAAAGAAAATTGCTGGATACAGATTTCGAGGATAATTACACGTGGGATGATAACTTTCCTGTTGTACTAACAGAATACATAAGTAGGCCGTATAGCATTGCTTACTGTAGGCACTACGTCAACGATTGTTTCTATCAATACTCCCATGAAAAATTTCCATCATTTGCTCAAAGACTCTTAAGGAGGTGATGTCTGTGAAAAGTGTGCTCAATGTCCATGAAAAGTTGTCAGTGTAAATCATCAGTTACCTATGTACACATTGCCCTCCGGCAACCAGGGTCAGTCCTATCGTTGTTACTTTTTCAAAAAATTTTACGACCCCCCTCCCCCAAGGTGGATTGGTACGACCCCTTTGACACCCTCGACCACCATATTCCTCTCTATAGTATTTAATTCTGGTACCACTCAACCCACCAAACTCCGCCCACTTTTTCCTCCAAAAATGCCGTCGAGCGGGGGGGGGGGGGTACGCGCGCTGAAACGGCGAATTTTTCTCCCATGCGCTCCCAACTCACCTAGCCTACTACTCGTGAAAACTCCACTTTCACCACAAACTCACATGTACTTTCACGCGACTGAAGCGGATACGACCCCCCCCCCCCTTCTATAACCTATAAACTCAACCAGGTACGACCCCCCGTTGTTACTAGTAACAACGTAGGATTGACCCTGCCAGCAAACATCGAGTCCTAACCTTCCCTGCAGATGCCCCTTACGGTTTCTCTGTGCCTTCCTATTTTTCATAGATGTCATGACTCCGACTACCATGGGATGCCACAAAAAGTGTACCTTATAGAAAAAGAGGGTTTTATCACAATCATGGCCACTCACAACGGTGCTTCAGCTCTGCTTAGCCCTTTCACTTTTGAACGCTGGCTTTCTCCCTCCACAAGCTGCCCTCAAAGCTGTAATGAGTAGACGGCGTGCCGGTCGATGGCGCGTTTAGTTGTATAGCCATTGGGGGTTATCGGATATCCATATACATCACCACAGAATAATATCTAAGACCCCATCTGGAATGAGAGATTAGTCTGGAAATTCGTCGATGCTCTATCCTCCTTCAACCTCTCCAGCTGCCACGGCAGCAACATGTAGAGAGGAGCTCAGCTCTTCGACCTTCCCGATTCCGTTAGCGGTTGATTTTTCCATTGGCCTTATCTGCCTTCGTCGGACTTAGTGACACACTGACCGACAGACATACCGACAACTTAAAACTGAAACAAAGGACAACTTGAAACTGACACAACAAAGTTGTGGTTTATGTGTGATGTATAACGAGGTAGAAAAACAGTGTTAATGACATGTATTACCTTTTGGATTATGGAGCTTCCGGTGTGCCCGAAAGTCTGATGTTTCCCAGTTTTTCATAGGCTGAGCAATAAACTGAGGTGGATTACGCTCCGCATTGCATTGTTTCACTTCTCTTTCTTAGTTTCTTAATAACGCATGTCGAAATCTGATCGCTGTTAGGCTTCCTTGGTCCAACCCACAACAATTGTCCTCTGTTCTGTTCAGAAACAAGACAACCCCATGTCTGTCTAGAACGCTGTCGAGGGCTCAGGAGTAGTGGAAGGATTTTCTTTCATGATAACGCTCAACTTCACATATTCGCCATCGCAAAAAGTAATTGACATGGCCTAGTTTGGGTTCACATGCGATGCTCTCCAAAGCTACTTCCCATCAACAGTCGTTTTAGAAAGTGTATTCTTCTTGATCAAAGAAACAAACTGCTCAATGTAAGTTGAGGTAAATACTCTTGATAGCCAGAATTGCTCAACGTAATGATTCCGCTGATCGTATGGTGTTCACAAGGACATGGTGACCTTCCACAAGGACTGCAAATAGCTTCTGGAGGACAAGACAACGCCCATGTCTGTCCAGAACGCTGTCGAGGCTCTCAGGAAATCACAATCGGCAATCAGGAGTGGTGGAAGAACATCTTTTCATGATAACGCTCAATCACATGTTGCATAAACGACATCGCAAAAAGTGAATAAGTTGGCGTGCGAAGCTTGCCTCACATCCTATGCTCTCTAAATCTCTTTCCCATCGTTTTTTCGGCCGTCTCGACAATTTCTTGAGTGGGAAAGACTACAGATGCCAAAGTGACGTGGTACTAATGTTCGATTATTGCATAGCCACCGGGAAATTTCCAAATTTACAAAATAATTATCCACTTTTTTGTAGTTTATCATTCCAAATGATGGCACTCTTCAAGTATTAGGTCGGTCCATAATTTTTGACGTGTACTGTCCGCCTCCCCGCTTGCGCGACTAGGCGGACAGTGCACGGGTCCTTGGCGCCTTCCAGAGAAGGAGGGACTCAGTTTTCTACAGCGATGGCGCTCCGACAGTTGACGACCACATTCTCGTCATGGCTCTCGTCGTGGAGGGCGCAGAGAAAACGACGAAAACAAATCGATAACATGTGGCAGTGCGGGCCCCACCGCGAACGCGCTTACGGTGGAAGCTAGGAAACCATCCTAAGAAATCGTTTCGTTGCCGAAAATGCTCCAATGTGTTAGGTGCTGCGAGCATTTATCGTACTCTAACCTCACTCTGTAGTAAGTAATGGTACAATTAGGAATCGAGATCGAACAATGGGTTCATAGGAATCAACTTCAGCTTGACTGGGATCAACTGTACTCATACGGCTTTACACAGTTTTGAATTCCGTGAATTCATTACAGATCAGTTATCCCTACTGGAATACTCATTTCAAAATTCTTATTCTCTAGCGCGAGGATGGCATCTTCACGTGATACAATTATAAAGAGGCTCTTTTTGTTAGCTTGATCGGAAGTTACGTTTTTTAATTTTTTGTTAAGCTTGCTGAAATTAGTGCTTCCCCCGTGCTGCGGTAGTAGCGCAGGCAAGAGCGATGCGTTTTAGATGTATCAGCGGTTCGAACGATATACGAGCGACTCGACAGCGGTGAGAAATTGGCGAGTTTCTCTCATGTGCACCTTAACTCTCCCCTCATTGCTTTCCTATGCTGTCAT